TCGTCAACTGCTCGCTTCTGATATAAAGGTAGCCTTTTGTGGACGTTGCTTGATCAAATGGACTTCTGAATGACGATAGTAATTTGTGTTCTCAAAAAGAAACTGATTTTTTTCGAAATTGAATGAAAAATAAGCAGAAAATAAAAACACACGAAGCTTGACCCCTCTTGTTCTTGATCTTCGCTCCACGTTTTGTCCTGTAAATTGAAGATTTAACACTACCCCCTCTTTTTCGATTACCCCATTTGTTCGAAAAGATCCCAACTAAAGCCAATAAGAGCGGTCATTATGAACATAGCGAAGTGAAGATGTGGATCATCTGGTGGAGATTGCCCTTTTTCGAAAGTTGATGAGTGCTAGGTTAAATTGTGTAACAACTTCAAAAATTAAGAAAGAAATAAAACTTCAATAAAACCAACGCTTCAAACATCCCAATCGTTCCATGGCCAATTTGACCTCATCAAATCGACCACTCCAATAGTTGAACAGATTGACATCGTTGACCGTCTCCTCGTATTTATTCGTCAGGTATTGAGTGTCCGCTTGACCGATTGCCTTGATCAGAAAGGCATGATATTGTGGCAGCTCGTTGGCTAAAAAACTTCATTCATGTCAAAGAAACTATTCGTAATTTCTGATTTCCTTTGCTACAAGCTACAAGGCTCCGAAAGGTTTGTAAGCGCATTATTCCAAACTTTTAACTCATCAAAAGTTAAAATTTCCGCAAGATTTTTCTGTTTCCCGTAAAAACAATTGATAATACACTTTTTACATCAAATAACCAACTTGTTATCAGTTGCTCTTGCATTGACGAGCATCCTGTGTAGAGCATCCAATTGTTGAAATTCTACGCATCAATCTTCCCACCACATCGTCGATGAAGACTCGCGAATCGCTCCACCCCAAGCAGTTCCATCAAAAAATTCTTGATGAACTTTCCGCATTCATCGAAATTCATTTTCTCTAAAAAGTTTCAAATAACAAAACGCCTCGAAATAAAATCAGCTTACCGATGTATGACCACAAGGAATTAGCTTGTAGAGAGTTTGTGGAGAACATTTCTGAAATGAAGCGTTTAGATTTGAATAAAAAGCAAAATGATCAACAAATAAATGACATAAAATTTCAAGAAATTGTGAAGTGAAATCGCCATTGACTGAGCAGATTTTCATCAAATCGATACTTGAGCGACAATCTCGTGAATGTTTTGCATAAATTTCTCATGTCAACCAGGGAAAGTTCAAGAAATGAATTTAATTGAGCAATGGAATAATTTCCTAGTGTAATGCTTTACAAAATACATGCACATACAAAGCACCCAGAAGGATCGGCGAAATTTTATGTAGAAGAAACTGTTCAGACAACGAAGAAAGTAAAGTATTGTTTTTTTGTTAAACATTGTGTTGGTTTTTTATTCGCTTAAGTGTTCAAAACACTTGTATCAAACGGAGTGTTCATTTTTCATTTCAATAAATGTTTGACTTCCAAGCCAAGCCTAGCTTTGAAAAGGATATTTATGAAAGGATATAACTGTTTTTCATGGAGCAAGGAAATCACCGATATCAATGATTTCATCAGATTTTGCCCGCATCGCTGGTACCAGCCAGATCCTCATCCCTCATTGTAATTTGTAAAACCTAAAATAGAGTTATATAAAATTAATAGTCAAAATCTATGATCCAAAAAAGTCAAAAGAATTCAGTCTGATCTGTTTCATGCCAAACGCCATAATTATAGTTCAAATTTGATGATTTTGTTTCAAAATTTTTTCCAAACCTTTGTGAGCATTTTCTTCTCTCGCACGATCATATGAATAAGTTGACCTGTGACTGGATAACAGTGAGAATCAGTTCGGGAATATGCGGGAAAGGTCAGAACCTCCTCGAAGTTAGGTACTGGTTTTGGCGGTGTTCTCAGAAATAAATAAAACGAAGGGACAGTTGGGACTCCAAAAGCCTTAGCCTCAGCCTCTTTCTTCGCATTCCACGCATACCACTCCTGTTCATAGTTTGCGGAGAATTTCACAAATTTTGTGCTATTCAGCCACTCGAGACTTGGTAAATCTGCAAAGGTTCTCGTTTCCCAGGCATCCGGCGTCAGATTGTCAATCGTCGATGTCAATGCCAATCGAATGAGAATATTTATCACAGCTGAACGTTAGGAAAATAGGGCATTTGAGCGTTTCGTTTCCACTACACGTTGACTTGTGTGCTTAAATATTGTTGTCCAATTCTTTTCTTTCTTACCGTGGCCCAAAATCACACGAATCAAACAATCCCACACATTTTCACTTCTCATACACTTCTTGCAATAATTGCCGAAACAGCAACCAGCCCAACTTTCGTACCTTGTATACGCCTGAAAATGGCTGATTAGTTGTTGAAAACTCGGCTTACGCCGAGCATAAGTCTGATTGAATATCTTTCATTTTGTATGAAAATCGCGCAATATTTAACAGGCTTAAGTCGCACTAAACCTTCGTACCTGTACACTAAACTGTACTAAACCTACACTAAACTAAACGCACTAAACAGCACAAATCTAAACAACGATTAGGTTTTCCCTGTTACAGAACGGGTCAAAATATTGGGTTGGGGAGAATGAGTCGGCGCCGAAAATCAAAGAAATTTCTAAAACTTATAGCAGACTTTGTCAAATGATATGCGTTTGATATCCGTAGAAGGGTAACTAATTCTCTACAAAATAATATTTAAAAGAGAACCAAACAGCGCCTCAACTCAACAAAGGATCATTTTTTCACAAAATCGATAAACTGTCATCTAGAGTAAACGGTTGGAGGGATCTTCCTGAAAATTTGGTAACTTATGTAATTGAGTGTGCTCTATCTTTTTTATCTAAACACCAAAGGAGGTTTATGTGGAAGAAACTGTTCAAGCAATGAGTCGGACGGCAAAGTCCTTTTTGTGTAGAAAGTTTTCAAACGTTGCTGTTTTCCGAATCTGTCCTCTTTTTAGTAAAATTAGTTAAGGCGTAATCTATTGCCAATTTAGGTACTGTAGCAAGCTTTCATACATATAATTGATTGTGAGAATACAATCAATGTAAGCAAGTGAAATCGATTCCGAGGAGAGGAACCCATTTTATACCATTCACGTCACTGTACGCTATAGAAGTTTAAATTTGCCGAAGAGCATTTAAACTTACGAGGCTAATGTTGAGGTTGTGGTTGTCGAGGAAAAACGGATGCACCAAAAGAGAAAATTTTTCCGCTTTTGAAGCCAAAGTAAACTTCAACGAACAAAACTTGCTGCTTTTAAAAAAAACAAAAAAATATTTCCTAAATTGCACTTAACTAGGGAACTGTAGCCTATCTACAAAACGCGACCTTGAAAAGTTAGGGGATACGTGTTTTTTATTTTTACTCCTCTATTTGTAAATCTTTGTAGAAACGCGTTTGAAGTTTTGGCGATTTTTGAAAAATCTGATCACATCTATATCAATAACAATATAATCTCAATACATATTTCCCTTTTCAACAGTCGAGCTGTCTCATGCAATCGATGTTTTTCAACGACACATACAGCACAAATCTAAGCAACGGTTAGGTTTTCATCAGAAATAGGCCGACTTTCGAAGTTCGATTGATGCAATAGTACAATTTGTCTATGCTGCCCTGCAAAATGTCGATATTCTTTCCAACCGTCATTGTTTCCCCACAAGCTGCTTCACAAAAAACAACAAAAAAACATTTCCTAAATTGCACCTAAGAAACACCGTACCTTTCAAAATGAAAATGTGTCGGAAAGTATTCAATCATTTAACTGAGTATTCAATGTTTGTTTAATTTTCTATGAAAGGCTAGAAAGTGGGCAAAATTTCATTCTCTTTTTCGTCTGCATCTTTTTTAGAACATTAAGCTATTCTTGTTTGTTAATAGGCCAATTGTTTTTCGAACTCTACTTTTTCATTCATTTTAAATACATCTGAATCGGAACAGAAAATATTCATCGAAAAAGGGGCAAACCCCTTAAAAAATGCTTTTTTTAAAAAATTGTTTTGGATGATAAAACCGCATTTTCCGGACTGGGGATGTCGAAATTCGGAATCGGCATGAAAAACTGGTCAAGAAAAAGTAGATTTTGGAAAAATTGCCCCTCCCCCCCGCTACTCAGGTCATTGTTCCCTGATCATTGTTTCTTTTCAGGAAATGAAAGTCTTTCAGTCTCTCAACTGCGTTGTCTGCAAAATGCCATGTGAGTTATGCGTTTTATTTGATTCTATAGAATACTACATGCCTAAGTGCACTGTGTTAATTTGTTACTTTCAGTTGCTCGAAAGCCCAACGAGGCTCGATCACCACGACATTTATACTGCGGATTGGCGATGTGTCACGAATGTTTCGAGAAGGAGATGCGGTTGGAGAATGAGGAGGGGAAACATCGATGTGTTCGGGAAGATTGCTTTGACAATCCCAATTTTGCATTTTACCTGATTAGTAAGTGAATTTGTTTTGTTTAAAGTGGACACGGCGCAGCTTTTTAAAAATAAAAGAATATTATTTACTTGTATTTCCGATTTAGATGTTCTATCGCAAGAAGATTCCTTGGCACTTTCACCTTTGGGAGATGGTTATTTGCTTGTCAAGGTCTTTCTTGCTCTTTATGTAGATCAGTTTCGTTTAGCCCTTCAAAATTCCCGAATGTCCAATTTGTCACGATGAATGTAAGTGTTTTATTGTTTATTTGGGGAATAAAGTATTCATTTTGGTTGAACATTTATGTTGAATTTAGATTCGAATCAAGTTGACGGAAAGAATTCGTTTTCACTCTATTGCAATCACCTTATCTGTACGGAATGTTCTCTGAAGAATCGCACGCCAAACACGGATGCGGAAACAAAGGAATGGCCCCACCAGTTTACTTGCTCAATTTGTAACGAAGAGAGCGTTTTCGATGATGAGGTGCTGGTTGATCGATTTCAAGGTAATTGCTATAATTTAAAGGCACTTTCATCTGTTAGATTTCTTGAATGAATTGCCAATGATGACACGTCAAATGGAAGGAATGAGGAATCCTCGTGTTTGTGATGATTGCAAGGAGACGGTATAGTTTGAAAGATTAAATTAATAAAGTCAACTTCCAGCGCAGTATTGACAAGATGTATCACTGTAATAAATGCGATTTGAAGGTTAGTGGGTTAATTGACAAATAGTTTTCCTGTTTAGATTTGTCCAGATTGCCTTATTGAGGAGCATCTATCTCATGAGAAAACGCGACTTTGGAAGAAAGCAGTGAATTTAAAGTTAGCAAATAAAAAATGATGTATCTAGCTTTGTGAAATGACCGAGGCTCAACAGAAAGATACGGCCAATGTGGTGAAAACGTACAACGATTTGTTTGCAGGAATGCACGAGAATATTTTGAAGCCTCTGAAGGCTTTTGGAACGGTATGCGTATTTCGAATTATGTTAATATGCAGATTTTTTTAGAAATTGACTTCGAAAGAAGAAAACTGTATGAACATTTCGACATTTGGAGAAGCAAAGAAGACACTTGAAAAATGCGCGTAAGTTTTTCTCTTTGAATGCTTAATAATCCGATTTAGGAAGCTGAGAGAGGACTTTGAGACGATTTCGGAGAAACTCATACCTGATTTGCGTCGATATGAGACGAAGGTCAAGGTTAGTTTAAAAGTTTTGTGACTCACCCTTTGAAGTTTTAGATATTGACTGAAGCAATTGACAAAGATGATTATCAAGGACTTGAAGATGGATTTTAGGAGTGAAAGCAGCGATGTGTTTTATCTTGATTTTGCAAATTTGAATCTGTATTATTTTCTGCCTGTACGAAGCTGTATCACTTTTCAATATTATTTTGTGTTACTTCGATCACATTGATTTTATCGGTGCGATAAATATTTTGGCATAGAAGTGCCGGTTAAATGGTATATGATTGGTGTCTTGCTGTAGCGGTTTCTCTTTAAAAGTCAGGTTTTGTTTAATTAAGTATCTTGGGGGTTTGACAAAAGATATTATAACTTGCTGAGTTTTGTTAGGTGGTTATGGAAAAATAACCTTTAAATTTTTGTTTCGTTCTCGGTAATTTGCTAGTCCAGCAGCTCGGCTTCGGAGGCTACAGGTATGCGCGAAAATGTCTTTGCTATAGATTTTTTCTCTTCTTTTTCTTTTTTTTTTTCTTCTTTTTTTCCTATAGAAAACGATGTTTTGCCTTATTTCGCGCGAATGTGGGGAAACAATGACGGTGGGAAAGAAGGCTGGCCGTACAAATATTTTTATCCGTCCTGTAACAGGGAAACTTCTGTCAATGCAGAAAAAAAAGATCGATTTCAAGGTTTTGTTTTAATTGGTTTTTTTCAAAAAGAAATACACTTTTTAGATTTCTTGGATGAGTTGCCAGATGTTACACGTCAGATTAAAGGACATCTTGTTTGTGATGGTTGCGAGGACACCGTAAAGCTTTTGATTTGATTAACTAAATTTTGACATTTTGCAGGCCAGCATAGACAAAATGTACTATTGCATCAATTGCACTTCGAAAGTCGGCCTATTTTTGATAAAAACCTAACCGTTGTTTAGATTTGTGCTGTATGTGTCGTTGAAAATCATCGATTGCATGAGACAGCTCGACTGTTGAAAAGGAAAATATTAGGTTGTTTGGATATAAGCCAGCGTTGCTGAACTTATTGTTGTGAGAGAAGCTTTGAAAGCATGTCTTTCGGTATTTAAAAATACGTTATCTTGCGCATATTTGGAATCTTTTTAAACGGATAATTTCTTATTTTTAAGAGCTTTTTTCTTGCTTTAAATGACCGATTTCGAACATCAAGTTCGCGTCTGCTTGCTTTACGACTTAAAACTGGGCAAAACAGCCGCGGAATTTCATCGAGATTTGGTCAAAGCATTTGGGAATGTATTGTCCGATGTATTTTCCGGAAAGAAAGCCAGATGTATTGTCCGAAAGCCGATGCCAAGCCTGATTTCAACGCTTTCGGAATGGTGATGAAAGTCTCGAGGATGATGAAAGTCTCGAGGATGATGAACACTCTCGTCGACCTCAAGCGGTAGACAACGATATTTTGAAGGCTGCAATCGAATCGGGTCCATGTCAAACGACGCGTGAACTTGCTCAACAGTTTCTATGTTCAAATTCTACTATTGATGAGCATCTCCACGCCCTTGGAAAGACGATCAGATGCGGGAAATGGCTTCCTCACGAGTTAAGCAGTGCAAACGCTCGTTTATATCCGAACAATTGAGAAATTCAGAAAATGTCGAATTAGTTGATAATTAAAGAATATTCAGTTGAGTAGAGGGACAGGCCAAAGATATTGAGCCGAAGACCTAGACACAATTCTAGACGAATTCTAGTGTGAAAGGGGGGCGGCTAAAGTGAGTTCCAGAACAGACATAGCATAAAAAGATAGATCGAAACTTCAATCCAAACACTGAGTAGTTTCCCAATCTTGTTCTTGCGTTGATACTTGATAAAAACTTTTGAAGGTGAAGGAGCTAAGAAGAATGCGAGGGGTTAGAGTGACTTCCAGAACAGCCACACATGATGTAAATTAGCTCAAAACTTTAATCTAACACTAAACAACTCCCTAATCTTGTACTCAAACTGATCCTCGAGGCAAAGTTTTGGAACGTGAAGGAGTTAAGAAGAGTTAGAGGGAGTATAAAGTGAGTTCCAGGACAGTCATATCCATGTGAGATGGATCGAAACTTCAAACTAAACATTGAGTAGTTTTCCAATCTTGTTCTTGAACTGATACTGGTACAAAGATTTTGAAGCAAGAAGTTGTCACTTTCATTGAATGATCTCTATTAAACGTTTGAATTTACTAATATAGTAATTTAAATAATTTAAATTTAACATTTTGGTAACCATTTCAGCAAGCTCATGTCCAGATAATCGAACCGAATTTTGTTTGGCTGATTCAAAAGAGTGTTGAACTGTCAACATTATTGATTTGAACACTATATAATAATGGTATCAAAATAAAGGTAAAAAAAGTGATAAAAGAACCCGCTGTATTTAGGGAAAAGGTGGTCGATAAGGTATCCCCTAATATGTTCCTTATTTTTCTAAGCCCTGTCATCCAATGCTCAAACTGAGAGATTGCTTATTGCTTTGACGATAGATACATTCGCTTGAGTTCAATCAATAGGAGATGCATTCAGGAATGCCTTGAGATCAGAAGTGAGTTGAGGAATTGGTGTTATTGAAAAGAGCTGATAAAGACTCAGAAATATCTTGTCTAGTTTTTTGAAGTCTTCAATTTTAAAAAACCTCTAATTTCTGTTTAGCTCCATCACCAGATTCTGCCAATGGGCTTCTTCAAATAGAAGATTCTGTGCTCTCCGAAAAACCCGATTATTTTCCCATTGGAGCATTTCTTTGAGTCGTTGTGTTTATTGGGTTTTATTTGGCGATATCCTACTCGAAACGATGCAATCAGCGTCAAGCTTTACACAACAAAAACGTAGATTGTGTTCAAGAGTTGGTTGATCTACATCATTATTCAATTTGATTATAAACTGTAAATTCTGATGTATGTATTTTTATTATCTAGCTTTTATATACAGAAGATTGTTTGAACATAATGAAGGTGCTGTTTAGATTTGAACATTTTAAAAGGAGGAAACAGGAGTAATAGTCAAGTCGATTGTTTCTACCGGCACTCTGGCGTCAGTGCCATCAAAGCCGATCGAACGCAGTGTTTTCGTTTTTTTTCTGTTGAATCGGCAAGAAAAGAAGCTTCGAAATCGTCGAGTCACCCTAGATTTATCTTTTTCAAGATTAGCCCTGAAGACTACTCTGTGCGCTTTCATTTCCTCGAAAATTTCAATGGCTTTGGTCGGGAATAGAGGTCAAAATTTGTACATCTAAAATGAAGAGATTTATCTTCTCGTCAAATCCTCGATCACATAGCGACATTCTTCGTGCAATAGATGAATGTCGATGTGACTAGTATTCTATGAAATTATTGTATTCCTGCATATCTAAAGCAATTACCAAGAAATTCTCAATGATGAGCACTCCAGTGACACTCCAAGCAGAGACAAACATAGCCGGTAGATTGGCCACAAGTAGATCATTCGAAGTTCGAAGAAGAACTCATTTGAGGCAGATTATTTACCGAATCGTAGATCTCATCGATAATAAACTTGCTCACAACACTGGTAACCACAATCGTCGCAAGACGAACCTAAAACAGCTTAACCTTAATCGTATCCGTGTTTTGGCAGTTCTGCAGCTTATCGTAAATTCAACAACCATAACATTCAATAAATGCTATACCACCAAACAACCCCAAAAAAATTGAGGTTTTTCGTTGTTGGGTCAAAGTTTGGAACTAACTTGTATCTTATCTTATTGCTGTCTGGAACTCATTCTAGCCGCTCTTATTCTTCTCGACTCCTTTACCTTCAAAAGCTTTGTATCGAGTATCAGTTCGGGAGCAAGATTGGGAAGATATTCAGTGTTTTGCTTAAAGTTTTAATCCATCTTATCATACAGTGTCCATTCTGGAACTCACTCTAGCACATTTCATTCTTCTCAACTCTTTTGCCTTTAAAACCCTCGTATCAAGTATCAGCTCTTCAACAAGATTGGGACGTTGTTCAGTGCTAGATCAAAGCTTTGAGCTGATTTAAATAAAACATGGCTGTTCTGGAACTCACTCTAGCATCCTCTCATCTGTCTTTCTTCTTAATCATTAAGATCTTTGTATCAGTATCAGCTCCCGAACAAGATTGGGAAACTATTCAGTGTTCAGCTTGAAGTTCCGATCCATCTCATTATGCTATGTCTGTCCTGGAAGCGACTTTAGCTCTGCTTTCATTTTTAACTCTTCTTGCTTCAAAATCTTTGTACCAGTATCAGTTCAAGAATAAGATTGGGAAACTACTCAGTGTTTGGATTAAAGTTTTGATCCATCTCATATGGAGATGACTGTCCTGGAACTCACTTTATTCTCCCTCTAACTCTTCTTAACTCCTTCACGTTCCAAAACTTTGCCTCGAGGATCAGTTTGAGTACAAGATTGAGGAGTTGTTTAGTGTTCGATTAAAGTTTTGAGCTAATTTACATCAGGTATGACTGTTCTGGAAGTCACTCTAGTCCCTCACATTCTTCCTATTTTTTTTAGGAATTACATTGTGGCTCATTGGTGTGCTCGCTTTTTGCAAACCGTGCAAGCGACCACCAGGAGCCACTAGAAATTCTGAGAAAAATCGCGCTGAACTGACTTTTTTTTGGAACCCCCTGTAGAGTTCCGTTATAAAGAGAGTCGACTGTATTTATTAGGTTGGTAAAAAAGAAATGAGCGTCGTGTTTGTTGATTTGTATTTTATTCACAGTAAAAGATTTCTTAAAATAGTTTATTCTATTGGAAAGGGCGTGTTCTTGCGCATCGTTTGATATATAATTTGTCTATGTTTACTTTGTTTTTTTACAAGAAAGAGTGTTTAGAAAATGTCAAACCAAAAATTTCGCTTGCGGGCCTGCTTTTGGTATGAATTTAAGCAAGGCAAATCGGCTGCTGAAGCTCATCGCGCTCTATCTCAAGTGTTTGACGAAGATGCTCTATCCGAAAGTCAGTGTAAACGATGGTTCCAGCGCTTCCGAGACGGGGACGAAAGCTTGGAAGACCAAAAACACGGGAGTCGACCTCAAATCATCGACAACGACGCATTGAAGGAAGCCATTGAGTCGGATCCACGCCAAACCACTCGCGACTTGGCAGAACAGTTTGGCTGCACTCATGTCACCATTGAGAACCATCTGCATGGCATGGGCAAGACGAATAGATGCGGAAAATGGGTACCGCATAAGCTATCCGACGCAAACAAGGCGACAATCGCCGGAATTTGCACTCACCGCGCCAAGAACAGTGGGTTTTTAGACTCCATTGTTACGTCGGATGAGAAGTGGATTTAATACGACAACACAGCAAGAAAGCGGAAGTGGTCGGACCCAAGTGAAGCTCCAAAACCGGACATCCACGGAAAAAAGGTGATGCTTTGTGTTTGGTGGAACAGTAAAGGCCTGGGGTACTTTGAGGTTCTGGATTCGGGTCCAACAGTTACGGCGAACCTCTACCAAGGCCAATTGGGCCGCGTGGACCAGGCGCTGCGACGTCAAGGTGTGGATACGGCGTCGACAAAATTCCTCCACGACAACGCTCGGCCGCATGTCGCAAAAATCACCCAGTAGAAAATTGAAGAAATGGGCTGGGAAGTCCTGCCTTATCCGCCATACAGCCCAGACTTGGCGCCTTTCGACTACCATCTGTTCCGATCAATGCACCATTCCTTGGCCGAGAAAAAGTTCAAGAATCGCGACGAGGTCCAAATTTGGGTGTCCAACTTCTTCGAGTCGCAGCCGGTCGAGTCCTTCAAGAAGGGCATCCATTCTCTGCGTGAACTTTGGCGACAAGTCATTTATGCAGATGGCGAACACCTTTTGGATTAATGTATTGTTATCTTGTTTTTACAAGATAACGAAAACGCGAAAACGAAAATTTTAACGAAAACGCGCATTTCTTTTTTACCAACCTAATATGATGGTAAGATGTCAATGGCTCAATCTCTCCACAGTATTTATTTTACTCATTGGAAAAGTTGTTTCCTCATAATGCCAGACACTTTCAGCTTATTCGACGTCGGTGGTTCTAATTTGTGCTTGGACCAACAAGGAAACCTGCGAGGAGCGTGGCCCGAAGGGAAGTCCGTCGAATGAAATTATTCTTCTTCTCTTCTCTCAATTTTCTTTTAGTTTTTAAAAAAAAAAGCTTGTTGTGTGGCTTTTGGGTTTGGGGTTTTGCCTTCGTTCTTTTTGGATTTGATGTTTCTCTTTACGCGCACGCTGTTTTTGTAATGGGTATCGTTGCTTTTTTTTGTTCGGTATCAATAAGCCATAAAATTATAAATCCGATTTACTTTAAACTGCCCATAAAGTTTTAAATCCTGTTTAGATAGCTGGTCTAACATTATAGAAAGGATTTACTAACAAAATAAGCAGGTTATTCAAAAAAGCACCGATAGCAGTCTTCAAGTTTGAGTCAAATTGAAATTTTTTAGAAAATTTATTGCACAACTAAAATATATGATCACTCAGATCGAATCTTGCACACATAGCGAGCGAAATATCTATCCGAGTTGTTTGGCTCCCATTCTGCTCTACCACATGAGCGATCGTTTCGGAGCTGAAAAATCATTTTTTGAAACTCTTTTATTAGGTAATCGCAAATAAATCTCAAGGACCCACCAGCCATTGATATCCAAGTCCCATCGGATAGACACCGATTCCCAAATAGTCAACCGGTGTCCCATCACTCCACCATCCATCATTGATGGCTCCCTTCGAATACAATCCACTCCATACCATCAAATAGGCACACGGATTGCCATTGTTGACAACAACGTTTGTCATGTTACCCACATAGGAGCTGATCAAATCTGAAACAAAATTAGTGGCAGCTATTTGTGAAATTTTCTAGCACTGATGATTCAAATCTGAGTAAAACGGGATTCTCTCTTGACCTCTTACCATAAACAAAATCGTCCTCTTCTTCTGAATGAATTGATACGAGCTGTGCGCTCATCTTTTTACACCCTTCATCAGCGAGTTGATAGTCGACCAGCTTCCAGTAGCCTTGATCATAGGTGAAATCCTGATAGAAGCGTTCTTTCTTTTCAACGAGAAATCCTCACTCTTAGCCAGTAACAGGAATCCGTTCCATCAAAATATTGCCATCCTTGTGGACACCTTTTGTCAGTGGTTGCTAAATGAAATGGATTTTTAAAGTTAAAGTTTTCGATACTACAATCATACTAGCAAAATGATGGTCTTGCTTGTTTACAATCAGCCGTTTTCCAGAGACCAGATGATTGATCCATCACAACACACGAAAACGAGCGATCGGTTGTGTCTGGCTGACCTGAAAGACTTGAGAAAAATGCAAAAGACATTTATTTTGCTTGCCAACCTTTAGCCCATGCTTGATACAGCAACGGCGATCCATCCGAATAAACCCATTGACCGCCCGGTCCTTTCTCTACTCCAATGTATGAGTCAGAAAAATCTAAAGTGAACTGAAACCAAGTAAAAAACAGAAATCACTTGAATCTGTCAACTTCTTCGAAACAAAGTTGTTCTCAAAAGTTGTCGTGATCTTGGCCAATTCTGAGTTGAGAACCTGACAGCCATACTTGGCCGTTGACTGGGTTTGCACTAAAAACATAAATTGGAGATGAGTTTTCAAATCCCACGTGTCACCACAGAATAAACACATCGATTCTCTCCTGGGATTTGGTCGGAGGATTTTGGACAATAATAGGCCAAGGCATTGACAAAAAAAATAAATAAACAGAAGAAAAGCTCTCATTTTTTCAGTGAACAAAAACACTTCCCAATGTAAGGTTTTTTATCTCTTTCCGCCGCGATTTCCGTCGAGATAAAACACGGAGTGGTGTCAACGATTCGGAACTCAAAGTATGAGCAATTGCAAGTATGAAATGGGTTGTTTTTTGCTTCATTTTTTCAGAGTTGCTAACATAATTCTCATAAAAATGTTTTATTTACAGCAATGAAAAATGGTTGGAGGCGTTTACGAGCAACCACAGCAATTCTTCACCCAAGCCCAGTAGACATCGGTGCGAGAATCCGAGCAGCCGTAGGGACTTGAAAGGTGTTTTTATTTGTAAATGTTAAATTTAAATTATTTAGATTACTAGAAGTTAGTAAATTCAAACGTTTAATAGAGATCATTCAATGAAAGTGACAACTTCTTGCTTCAAAATCTTTGTACCAGTATCAGTTCAAGAACAAGATTGGAAAACTACTCAGTGTTTGGATTGAAGTTTCGATCCATCTCATATGGATATGACTGTCCTGGAACTCACTTTATACTCCCTCTAACTCTTCTTAACTCCTTCACGTTCCAAAACTTTGCCTCGAGGATCAGTTTGAGTACAAGATTAGGGCGTTGTTTAGTGTTAGATTAAAGTTTTGAGCTAATTTACATCATGTGTGGCTGTTCTGGAAGTCGCTCTAACCCCTCGCATTCTTCTTAGCTCCTTCACCTTCAAAAGCTTTTTATCAAGTATCAACGCAAGAACAAGATTGGGAAACTACTCAGTGTTTGGATTGAAGTTTCGATCCATCTTTTTATGCTATGTCTGTTCTGGAACTCACTTTAGCCCCCCCCCCTTTCACACTAGAATTCGTCTAGAATTGTGTCTAGGTCTTCGGCTCAATATCTTTGGCCTATCCCTCTAAGCAACTGAATATTCTTTAATTATCAACTAATTCGACATTTTCTCAATTTCTCAATTGTTCGGATATAAACGAGCGTTTGCACTGCTTAACTCGTGAGGAAGCCATTTCCCGCATCTGATCGTCTTTCCAATGGCGTGGAGATGCTCATCAATAGTAGAATTTGAACATAGAAACTGTTGAGCAAGTTCACGCGTCGTTTGACATGGACCTGATTCGATTGCAGCCTTCAAAATATCGTTGTCTACCGCTTGAGGTCGACGAGAGTGTTCATCATCCTCGAGACTTTCATCACCATTCCGAAAGCGTTGAAATCAGGCTCGGCATCGGCTTTCGGACAATACATCTGGCTCTCTTTCGGACAATACATTCCCAAATGCTTTGACCAAATCTCGATGAAATTCCGCGGCTGTTTTGCCCAGTTTTAAGTCGTAAAGCAAGCAGACGCGAACTTGATGTTCGAAATCGGTCATTTAAAGCAAGAAAAAAGCTCTTAAAAATAAGAAATTATCCGTTTAAAAAGATTCCAAATATGCGCAAGATAACGTATTTTTAAATACCGAAAGACATGCTTTCAAAGCTTCTCTCACAACAATAAGTTCAGCAACGCTGGCTTATATCCAAACAACCTAATATTTTCCTTTTCAACAGTCGAGCTGTCTCATGCAATCGATGATTTTCAACGACACATACAGCACAAATCTAAACAACGGTTAGGTTTTTATCAAAAATAGGCCGACTTTCGAAGTGCAATTGATGCAATAGTACATTTTGTCTATGCTGGCCTGCAAAATGTCAAAATTTAGTTAATCAAATCAAAAGCTTTACGGTGTCCTCGCAACCATCACAAACAAGATGTCCTTTAATCTGACGTGTAACATCTGGCAACTCATCCAAGAAATCTAAAAAGTGTATTTCTCTTTGAAAAAAACCAATTATAACAAAACCTTGAAATCGATCTTTTTGTTCTGCATTGACATAAGTTTCCCTGTTACAGGACGGGTAAAAATATTTGTACGGCCAGTCTTCTTTCCAACCGTCATTGTTTCCCCACGTTGGCGCGAAACAAGGCAAAACATCCTTTTTTATAGGAAAAAATAAAATCTATAGCAAAGACATTTTCGCGCGGACCTATAGCCCCGGAAACCGAGCTGCTGGACTAGCGAATTACAGAGAACGAACCAAAAATTTAACGGCCATTTTTACATAACCACCTAACAAAACTCAGCAAGTTATAATATCTTTTGTCAAACCCCCAAGATACTTAATTAAACAAAACCTGACTTTTAAAGAGAAACCGCTACAGCAAGACACCAATCATATACCATTTAACCGGCACTTCTATGCCAAAATATTTATCGCACCGATAAAATCAATGTGATCGAAGTAACACAAAATAATATTGAAAAGTGAGACAGCTTCGTACAGGCAGAAAATAATACAGATTCAAATTTGCAAAATCAAGATAAAACACATCGCACTCCTAAAATCCATCTTCAAGTCCTTGATAGTCATCTTTGTCAATTGCTTCAGTCAATATCTAAAACTTGAAAGGGTGAGTCACAAAACTTTTAAACTAACCTTGACCTTCGTCTCATATCGACGCAAATCAGGTATGAGTTTCTCCGAAATCGTCTCAAAGTCCTTTCTCAGCTTCCTAAACCGGATTATTAAGGATTCAAAGACAAAAACTTACGCGCATTTTTCAAGTGTCTGCTTTGCTTCTCCAAATGTCGAAATGTTCTTACAGTCTTCTTCTTTCGAAGTCAATTTCTAAAAAAAGCTGCATATTAACATAATTCGAAATACGTATACCGTTTCAAAAGCCTTCAGAGGCTTCAAAATATTCTCGTGCATCCCTGCAAACAAATCATTGTACGTTTTCACCACATTGACCGTATCTTTCTGTTGAGCCTCGGACATTTCACAAAGCTAGATACATCATTTTTTATTTGCTAACTTTAAATTCACTGCTTTCTTCCAAAGTCGCGTTTTCTCATGAGATAGATGCTCCTCAATAAGGCAATCTGGACAAATCTAAACAGGAAAACTATTTGTCAATTAACCCACTAACCTTCAAATCGCATTTATTACAGTGATACATCTTGTCAATACTGCGCTGGAAGTTGACTTTATTAATTTAATCTTTCAAACTATACCGTCTCCTTGCAATCATCACAAACACGAGGATTCCTCAGTCCTTCCATTTGACGTGTCATCATTGGCAATTCATTCAAGAAATCTAACAGATGAAAGTGCCTTTAAATTATAGCAATTACCTTGAAATCGATCAACCAGCACCTCATCATCGAAAACGGTATCTTCGTTACAAATTGAGCAAGTAAACTGGTGGGGCCATTCCTTTGTTTCCGCATCCGTGTTTGGCGTGCGATTCTTCAGATAACATTCCGTACAGATAAGGTGATTGCAATAGAGTGAAAGCGATTTCTTTCCGTCAACTTGATTCGAATCTAAATTAAATATAAATGTTCAACCAAAATGAATACTTTATTCCCCAAATAAAAACTGAAACACTTACATTCATCATGGCAAATTGGACATTCGGGAATTTTGAAGGGCTAAACGAAACTGATCTACATAAAGAGCAAGAAAGACCTTGACAAGCAAATAACCATCTCCCAAAGGTGAAAGTGTCAAGGAATCTTCTTGTGATAGAACATCTAAATCGGAAATACAAGTAAATAATATTTTTTTATTTTTCAAAAGCTGCGCCGTGCACACTTCAAACAAAAGAAATTCACTAACCAATAAGGTAAAATGCAAAATTGGGATTGTCAAAGCAATCTTCCCGAACACATCGATGTTTCCCCTCCTCATTCTCCAACCGCATCACCTTCTCGAAACATTCGTGACACATCGCCAATCCGCAGTATAAATGTCGTGGTGATCGAGCCTCGTTGGCCTTTCGAGCAACTGAAAGTAACAAATTAACACAGTGCACTTAGGCATGTAGTATTCCATAGAATTAAATAAAACGCATAACTTACAAGGCAACTTGCAGACAACGCAGTTGAGAGACTGAAAGACTTTCATTTCCTGAAACGAAACAATGATCAGGGTACTTCCTGAGTAGCGGGGGGGGCAATTTTTCCAAAATCTACTTTTTCTTGACCAGTTTTTCATGCCGATTCCGAATTTCGACATCTCAAGTCCGGAAAATGCGGTTTTATCCTCGAAAACAACTTTTAAAAAATATGCATTAGGGGTTTGACCCTTTTTCGATGCAAATTTTCGGTTCCGATTCAGATGTATTTAAAATGGATGAAAAAGTAGAGTTCGAAAAACAATTGGCCGATTAACAAACCAGAATGGTTTAATGTTCTAAAAAAGATGCAGACGAAAAAGAGAGAATGAAATTGGGCCCACTTTCAAGCGTTTTATAAAAAATTAAACAAACATTGAATACTCAGTTAAATGATTGAATACTTTCCGACACATTTTCATTTCGAAAAGTACGGTGATTCCTTTCTTAGGTGCAATTTAGGAAATGTTTTTTTGTTTTTTATTCTTTAGGCAGCAAATTTTGTTCGTGGAAGTTTACTTTGGCTTCAAAAGCGGAAAAATTTTCTCTTCTGGTGCATCCGTTTTTCCTCGACAACCACAATATCAACCACAGCCACAACATAAAAATCGAGAATTCCCAGCTCTCCTACATACTCTCTATAAAAGTTTCGAGAGTCTATAAAGTTTAGAAGAGTTTCGGCACTTCATTTCACAACCTGGCCGAGTAGTAGGCAAACGTCGGCATACAATCAAAAATATCCTTGTGCTGGGTGCCCAAGTTTATCAGAACATTGTTGTCCAACACCGTTTGTACAGCTCTTGTGTCTCTGTATTGGAAAACTGTGAAAATTTAAATGATAACTCAAGTTTTTCTAATCAAAAACGTTTACGTGCACAATCCAAACCATTGCTTATCGTCGACGAAAAGCTTCATCTTTGTAACTAAATATTAAACATTTTCTTTTTAAATGCTCGAAAGTTTGCCGTCAATTGGTGAGGTTGTCCGACACGGGATGATCATGTTTCTTCTTGAGCCTGTTGTAAGATAAATTTCCTTTCTCTTCGGCTTCAAAAAGAGATTTGAACCTTAAAATTTGGCTTTCCAAAAAAAATTCTTTATACAAGCTTACCTTTAACGAATACATAAAAGGACAAAGGAGAACTGGATCCGAGTTCCGAGAAGTTGCCTGAATCTGCGCACTGGTAGAGGCCTGTATCGGTGGGTTGAAGATCATTGATTGTTAATTCAGTATTCTGAATTTTATTTCTTTTTTTGGTACATTTCCCTAGCATACAGAGGTACTTTGTATACAAATCTAAACTACTATAATGATCTTTTAATTGGATATCCTGATCTTTTGAAGCTCTTTCACCAACCTCTTGAGTTTCCTCAATGTAAAACCTCTTTTGAAACTCATCAAAATCATAACCATCAACCTCTCGATTAGTGTGATTCGGGAAACTCCAACTGAAAGTGAGAATTTAAATTCAATTACAGAAACAAACCGACCTTGTGTTAATAGGACAAGAGATCGTTAGATTCTGTCCGGCTTTGGTGGAAATCTCAAAGATTTCCCTAAATAGAAATGGATGAATATGAAATAAATGGTGAACAATATAATATTCCCTTCAACTCCAACAGAATAGTCGCTCACTTGGACCGCGGTTGTGACTCCCAGATCAGTCGCTCCAAGTGTTGTTGTTCTGTTTCACGATTTCGGCTCAATCCGAGATTTCTTCGAAACAAGAAAATTAAACAGAAAAGTATTTTCTTACTCATAGCATTGACAAGGAAAATCAGAAAAGCTTCAGGGAAAGTGGGTCGTGTTTTTCTATGTTTATCGCCTCCTTTCACACCGACGTGATAGAGTGGCACAGGTGACGAGATTTATTGCTCAAGGACTCGCTTGTTCTTTTGCTCTTTCTATCAAATAACAATTGTTTCAAAGGATTTTGGTTAAAGGGATGTATTCAATTAAATATGGTTTTAAACAAAATTACTTGATTCTAATGTCACTAGCATGGATCATTCGTGAATTTTATATGCTTTATGAGATTTGTCGCAAAAGCCTAAAGTGACCCGGGTTGACTCTGAGTTTTGGTCTTCAAAACTCAAATGCAACCTTTTCTTTTCCAAAAGTTAATCCCATGAGATTATCGGAAATTAGGAGTCTCTTTCAAAAAGTTCACCGAACAAAATTTCAGTTAGTTTAAGATCTTCAAGAGGTTCGACGGGCTAGAGAGTCTGGTTTCAATAAAATCAATTCCTTATGAAAAAGGTTTGGGATGAGATCAGCTTGAATCAACTTAACTATTTTCAACAAAATGCTTTTCTCTCAGAGAAATCCACTGGCCTTGTCCCTAGTCACCAAGATTGTTTCCAATGGAAAATTCCAAAGCTAAAGACTGCCTAGAAACTCAGTAGTCAGTCCAAATTTTCGCAAAGATTACAACCCACTAAAACACACTTATTCAGAATACAGGTAAAAGCTTTTTTATTTTATCTTCTTCTCTTTTTGGCATGCGAGGTGTCTATCTCTCATTAAGATGCATCTTTTTCAAAACAGGAACAAACAAACTGCTAACTGAGATTTTTGAATCTTTACTTCTCCTTTAAAGTAACTTTTCTCCATCATTTCTTCTTGCAAACACCATATGGAGCTAGGAGTTTCCCACTTCTCCAATATTCCAATATTCCCCACGAATAGCGATGCTGACGTTTGTAATGCTCTCAGGTCATTTACAACATGTCTTTTGACGACGGAGAGGCGTATTGTCAGTCACTCTCTCAGCGTATTGTCAGACACATCTTGTGTCGATTCATAGTGAGGCCGAAAAAACTTTTGTTACCAGTGGGTTAAACGAGAACTGGCCAATGAGAAATACTAGCTTCAGGGTTGTGCTGTCCATCAAGCGAGGCTTATCACTACGAATTCACTGCGGCAATGTATGTGACCGGCGGTCATCGACGGGTTGGTCCTGGCCGAATACTGATTTAGCATTTCCCAACACTAATAATTAACTAACTTAGCTCAGTAAAACAGTGCTTTTGCTTCTCATAGGGTTGGTGGTCGACAACTGTTCTATCTTTTTGCACCACAGGCAACAATCAAGCCAGGACAGGCCTAGACAGCCGTTGTGCTCATTTATCTAAAAATCTACTATATATAAAAGAGAAGTGTTTGTCCGTCCGTCCATCTGTACGCGCGATTTCTCGGTTCCCCATGGGCCGATCTACATGATTTTTAGTTTGGTAGGCTTAGAATTCTATTTAGTTGTGCATTTCATATGATCAGCAGCGTTTCTCTCGAAAAGGCAAATAAATATCTAGAAAATGTTCTTGATACAATGGACTTCTGGATACCTTAGTTCTTTCCTCCAAAGATAACATAATTCATTTGCAGTCATTCGATTTAACTATTGCCTAAAGGTAAGTTGTCAAGTTTTATCAAAAAACTTCTCTTCAGATAAAAGTATTCGCAAGTAAACAACAACACAACTCAATCGTTTTTGATTTTCCGATAGTTATGGGAAGTAAACGAGAGATCGAATTGATCATTCCCAATGGTTTGCTTTTGAAACAAATTTTCTGTACTCGACTATATTTTCAGAGCCAAAAGAGTATCAAGGATTCGTTGAATGATTTTAACATTAATGATTTGAATGAAAGCGGCTAGTTTATTTATTTTTGAATACTACAGAATAAAATTTCTAATCGAAAAAACTAATTTGTAAGACAAAGTCAAGAGAGTTATTTATAAACAAGTTAGAGAACGTATCATCCTACCCATGATTGAATCTGAACAATGAAATAGATAATGTAGTTATTCTACTTCAACTTTAGATAAATTGCTCGTACACTCGTGAGTTTTATGTATGATGGAAGTGTGGTATTAAGGCTGAAAAGTGGCCATGTTATCAGACAAAAAGCAAACAACTTTTCAGCAAGTATAAACCAGCTCTACGTGCAGCTAATTGCCTCCTAAAGCTTCTTGATATTGAGTGTCCAGAGTACCCGATCCAATCATGCTGTTGATTTAAAACATATCTGAAAGGTTTTTGAATTTGACTGGGGTTTCTCCTTTTTTATTGTTTAAATTAGAGATGTTACCTCATAAAAAAATGACAGATTGTTCTATTAGGTACTTGCAAAAAAAACCGCGGCTTATAATCAACATTTGAACAACCCAAAAAACAATAAGAAAACAACTTTATTTCGAAAGATATTTGCCATTATTATCAACTATGTTCTTACATTTTTTGCGTCTGATTCGAAAAATTCGGGGTCCCGCGACGCAAAGTAGTCTTGCACCCAAATTTCGACTTCTTCAATATTGTTAAACTTTAGATTTGCAAGAGAGTGTTGCATAGACAGGAACAAATGGTAATCTGAGGGAGCGATATCAGGCGAATAGGGCGGATGAAGCACAAGTTTCCAGCCTAATTCTTCTATGGTGTTTTGAGCCAAGTTTGATGTGTGTACCCGGAAATTGTGAGCGAGTAAATGGATTGTCGTTGGATTAACACCTCTTTCTCGTAGAATTTCATCAACTTTCTTCAGCTGTTCTTCAGATTTGAGAAGTTATAGTTCTTGAAGATTTTCGTAATTCAAAATAAACGATTCCTTTCATATTCCAAAAGACCGACAGGATAACTTTCTTTCCGTGAAGTTCCGGATGTGATGTCGGAATCGGCATTTCTCCTTTGCTCAACTATTGTCTTTTGCGTGTTGTAATATTGAAATATGTCCACTTTTCGTCCATCATCAACATGCTTTCAAAAAAGCACTGCCCGTGGCCTTTTTCAATAGAATCCGAGACAATAAAATAAAAACTCGATTGGTTTTGTTCTCAGGGGATAATTCATGTGGGACCCATTGGCCACAACGATTCTTTTTTTCCAATAAGCGCAAGGTGTCGAGAAATTGTGCTCAAATCACATTTAAAGTATTCGGCTAATTCGGGCAAAGTTTGAGTTGGATCCAACTCGACAATCTTCAGCAACTCCGCATTATCGAAGACAACTGGACAATATCTATGAGGCTCATCTTCCAAGCTATCATCCCCTTCACGAAAGCGTCGAAATCATTCCTGGCAAGTCCTTTCACTCAAAATGTTCTCTCCGAATGCTTCACAAAGATTCCGGTGCGACTTCGATGCTGATTTCTTAATTTTGAAGTCATAGAGAAGACACGCCTGCAACACGAGCTTTTAATCCGTCAGCTTGTACCTAAAATTCTATAAGATCCATCCATTCTATAAGATCAATCGGAAGTCTATTCCATCAATACTAAAAGATACACAAAAAATAGAAAAAAAAACGAGTATTGTAGTAAGCCGCCAAGACTTTTGTCCATTGTTTTTGGGACCTTTTTGTCGTTTACGCTTATTTTTGTTGTTTAAAATAAACTTTCGAGTTCAATGCTTGGTCATAGCTAAAAGTAGAGCATAAATGCTCAAAAATACTTGTGACAACTTTTTTATAGCCTCTCGGAAAGGTTCCTAAATTTGCGTTCGAAAGTTGCCACCCAGGAGCCGCCAAGACGTTGTCCATCACTGTAGTACAATTGATTTAATTTTGCCGAAAACTCTCAAATCATGGGGAATCTCTACCGTAACCAAATCAAGTCATACCGCTTTTGAGAAGATTTTTGATCTCACAAAATTTCATTTTAGTCAAAAAACTTTTCTTTTAATTAAAATTTAGAAATTTTTGCGTAAAGCTTTGAAAAAGAAATGATTTTATAACCAACTATCAGTAAATTAGGAAAAAATTTGACAGAGAGCCTGTCGGGCTGAACAAAATTGCAACAAAATACAAAAAGCTATCATGATGTTGTAAAAATCTCTAACTTTTATATCAATCAATAATTTGATATCAACTCTTTAGTTTTTTCGTTTTTTCAAAATGAATTTTCTTTTCTATTCACCTATTTTTTTTAGGGATGTTTCTTGTTATCATGAAAACAAAGCTCCCTTTCCCTTCGATTTCTCATTTAACTTCCTTCTTTGGGTACACGTTTATCAATTCTGCATCTAGCACATAAGAACCTTTACGGTTTTTTTCACTCTCAAAGTCACAAAGTATACCAGGGTTTCTTTTCTCAAAAAAAGAGCCATCCCAGCATAAATAGTAGAGAAAATCATATCGTTTCGTCGTTTTAAACGATGCCCATTTTCTCCTTATTCTTTCTCTTCTACATAACTGCCACACAATCGTTAATAACGGTTTTCAATTTAACCACTCAATTTCCCTCTTATGCTTTGCATGGAGCTAATTTGGAGAAATGGAAGGTAAATCATTAGAGAGAATCAAAAAAGGTTTTCCTCAATCACTAGCTGAGCACGGCTTTCTCATATAGCTCTTCAACTGGTGCTTATTTTTATGTCTAATTCAAGTTGTTTCCTATGTTCAGCTTTGATCTCTAAATTAGAATCATAATTGAGTAATTGTGCTCAGCACTTTAGAGTATTCAAGTGAACGGTTGTGTCGATTGTGATTTCCTTGTCGATTTCTCTTTTCGCGTGTGCAACGAGGTGCCGAATGGACAAGAAGAAGTGAGTGATTTGAGGAGGGACACGAAAATGAGATCCTTCTCCCCCATTTAGCACTACACCGATTTGAACATTGTCATCTGCAAAGATCCATATCCATTCACAATCAACGGAAAACCACCATTGAATCCCCATTGTGAATTCCGGTTGCTGTTTGGTTGTCAACAAATTTATCAAACAAACCTTTAGAGCTTTAATTGTTTATCCGGTGGGCCTAACAGACACT